AATTAATATACCTTTAAATTAGTTAGGCTACGTTATATTTAATATTGGCATTTTATTTATTGTTTGTAAGCGCTAATTTACAGGGCTGCATTGGTTTCATCGAGCAAAAAACCTATTTTCAATCATTTTTTTTCATATACAAAATTAAATATTTTATTCAAACATTTTATTTTATTCCGAAGCTCCATATTTGATAAAGATTTTGTGAAATTTTTAAAGGAAAATATTCACAACTCGCTCAATACGACTTCATTTCCGGCAGACTTTAAGTGCCTTTGCGCTGATAAATGTAGGCTACTTTAGCTTTTACAATTTTATACAATTTCATTTTACTTTGCAGCTAACTGCTTTAAGCGTTCTTTAGTAGAGGGTGTGTGACTTGGCTAAAATCACATTAGTTGACTCTTCGCCTAATTGTAGGCAACATTACTTTATTATTTACAATTTTATATGCAACATTTTAAGATTTTCGCAAATTCGTTCAATTTGTGTTTGCTGGTTAAATCTATTGCATATAGCGCTACATATTTTTTTTACATTCATTAAAGCGTTGAGTTCGTGTAAATAAAAAATTGCGCTACGTAAGCAGCCGTCGCAGGCAATTTGTTTACGCAATTTGTTATTTTTGTCGCACTTTGTAAATTGCATTTCGAGTTTTTCTACAATACTTTTATTGCTACAAAGTTTTGATTTTTTAAAAATAGCATTGTTATGCGTCGCCATTTATTTACATGAATGCATACTACCATATTATTTCTAACTTCACTCATCCTTGAATTATTACGCCAATAATTTGATTATTGTGATTTATGGCTTACACAGGGCTGGGAGTACTCGGCGTTGCTGTTTATACTCATCAACACCGTCTCGCTGATTTTCATATCGAACTCGTACATACGCATGCTGCAGGCGATACGCGACTCGGGTGGCGGCATGCGCAGCACGCTGAGTGGACGTGAGAATGTCGTGGCTACGCGGTAAGTGATCTCTATTTGTTTTGCTGTCGCTTGTTGTTTACCTTTTTACTTGTTGGTATGAGTGGCAGAGCGGCCAATGTAGGGGGGGAGGGGGGTGGGTGGGTATGGTGTACAACCAAAAACTAATGAGCGTTGATAGAAAAGGCATTAAATTAGATGGCCAGCGATTGATGAAATGTTTTTGCGGATTAGTTACATTGCCGAGGCAAATAGCAGCAAATGAGTTAATGCTGCGACTTTTGTTTTCGTTTTACAAAATTTACAAGTTAATATATTTCGTTGCCGCAAACCGTTCCGCCAGCTTCAAACAGTGGAGGGCAGTCTAATTGTAGCGCATAACTGGCTTTTCATGCCTCTTGGCGCTTATTCAGCTGAAAAACACGTTGGCTGAATAGCCTGCTGAATTTGTAAGCAGTTCATGTTTTGCTGTTGTGATTTATTAGAAATTTGTTATGCTTAAATTCAGCTAATATGCTTTAAGTGAAACCGTACGTTATTGGTATTCGACCCGCGGTGTAAGTCAGAGACCTTACAGTGACTTGTCTTTTTTTGAAATTTTAGGCTGTATGTACGCCTCGAATAGCGGAATATAACTTACTAAGTAACTTCTACGCTTTAGTCTGAAACTTAAAAGCACATTGGTTTATATCGTAAAGCAGAGATTTGAGTGCCTTTCTGCAGTCTAACAGCTGCTCAAAAAAGTAAATCCCTAGTTTGTATCTGGCTTAAAATTCGTTCGGACCACTATTTGTTAAATAATTTGGCAACCCTTAAAGCTCTTGGTGCTTGTAGTTGTTTTGCAAAATGCTACGATATTAAAAGTCAAAAGAAGTTGAAGCTTGTTGGGTTTTATGTTAGTTAGACATAACTCTATTTTGTGTTTAAGTCCATTCTTTTTATAACGCTCTATTTGCTCTCCCTTTTTTTCGTAAAGTTTCGCCATAATCGTTACAATAGATTGCGCTTGCTGGCTGCCGATAATTGTCGTCAAGGTGGCAGCGCTCTCGGGCTGCGCCATTTCACCATCTCTCTACGCCTGGCTTGCAGTGCTCGTGTTGCCGGTGAACTCAGCCTTGAATCCGGTGCTCTACACGCTCACCACGGCAGCATTTAAGCAACAGCTGTTGCGCTACTGCCAAGCGATGCCCACTTCCTGCTCACTCATGATCGATCCGCGCTCGCAGACGCAAACCGCCTTCGACTCGAACCTCAGCATGAGTTTGGGCCACTTCAGCAGCATACGCACGAATCACAGCCATAATTACTGCCGCTCATCGAGCAGGAAGCGTTCGCAGAACAGACGCCTGAGCTATGTGTGATGCCAGCGTTGCAGCGAGGCAGTGGACAAGCTGGATGCAGAGCGTTGGCGGCACAATCACTTGCATGCATTGGACTGCTGAGCCGTTAGAGACACTGGTATGAGACTGTCTGCTTAGTTTTACTTTAGTTTTAGTAGCGAGATTCCTATACTTGTATGTTTATAAAAAAATATAATGTCAACGAAATACTTTTTAAGGCTCAAGTTGGCAAGTCTTCTAAAAAAGTATAATTTTTAAACAAACAGAAAAAAAAATTTTTTTTTAATTTTTAAGTCACATATTTCTTTGAAATATGTGTTGTGGAAAAATTTCACTAAAATTTAAATTTAGTGTTTTAGAAATTCTTTTTAATATTTTTATATAGTGAATTGAAAAATTAAGGCGGCGTGCTGTACTTTTTTACATTTTTATGCAAAAAACTATTTTTTCTAGTAACTTGTTGCGCTAAGCCAACGCATGTTGTGATCTTTCAAGTATTATCCATAGTTTATTACACTAGTGTAAAAGAAATAGTTTTATAAGTATTTTTATAGACATAAAATATTAATGAGAAATATTCTTAACATTTGCTGTGTGAAGAGTAATTTATGTGTCAAAAGCTGCTTCAAACTGTTTGTAAATATGGCAACTTTATTGAAAAAAAAATTAAAATTTATATACTTGTATAGCAGTGTGTTATCAGCGACTTTTCAACACTAACGCCTAGCGAAATTTGTTAGTCTTAAGTGATAATTGTTGTAAAATGCTTAAAAAAATAAATATTGTTTTAAAATTGTTGTTGTTTTAATTTCTTGTATAAAAAGCTACAAAAAATGAGCTGATAGTGCATTGGGAACACCTAAATTGCAACAGCAAAAAAATGCTAAAACTCGGTAAAAAAAATGTAAAAAACTCAGAAAAAAATTTTAAAAAATTCAGAAAAAATTTAAAAATATGTAAAAAAAAATTTGAAAACAATTGAACAAAAAATTTAAAAATTAAAAAAAAAATTTTTTTTGAAATTTAAAAAGATTCGAAATTGCAAAATCTTCTGGCAAGCACTCACATCAGAGAATGGTAATATGCAAATGTAAATCAGAATGCGCATAATTCATTTAGGAACATTCTTTGCGTCTATTTATAGTCTTTTCTCCGTTTCGATCATTGCGTGGTGTATTTCAAAGAGTCGAAATTGTATTTTTCGATGTTCCCTCCTGTGAAAAGCTCAATTTAGTACTTTTTAACATTCGAGCCAGCTACAGTTTGAGCGTCACTGTAGTACATGCGGCTGTTTGGATGGGAACTTTGCTATATGTCTTGGCTAAATGGTGAATTCTGGTGGGTGGTGACTTCGCGAAGATGTGGAACATGAAGTGGGTTTTTGTCGATGCTGGTGTGTGTACTGACTAACAACAGGGTGTTATGTGTATTAAGGTGGCTGACACTGCTAAACTTGCTGTAAACCATAGAAGCAGAAAAACACATGTTTTAATTTTTTTTTTTTGTAATTTTTTTCATTTATTTTATATTTGCTCATTTACATGTAAATCACTTCAGTTTCTTATATTTTTTTTAAATTTTGCAATTGCGTTAATTTGCATAAATTCTGATATTTCACCACTTTATAAATATATGCACTAATATTACATATCTATGTGTGTGTATGTGTATTATTAGGTATGTATGCATGTATGTTATAGCTAACTGACACTTGCGAGTTGAATGCTTTGCTGTATTGCTCACTGCTTCTTCTGGTCCTGTCTTTTTGTCTGACCTTCGAATTTGTCTAATATTTTTATGTTTAATTATTTTTATGATTATGTCATTCTGTTTTTCTTTTTAATTAATTAATGAATAATAAAAATAAAAAATATTTTTTTGTTTTGTTAATATATCAATAAAAAAAAAATGATATTAATTAAAAAAATAAATAAAACACATAGAGCATAACACACTGCATTTTCAACGAAGAAATCATATATATATAAAACAAAAACAAAAAAAAAATTTTAAAAATTGTTTCTCGCTTTTCTCGCAATTCGCGTAAAACTTTTTATATGCAAAGTAGATATGTATGCATGTATGCGTGTGTGTTCATAGAAGTGCCATTTTATATTATATAATTACTGTAACTTTATATTAAGCGAATATTTTGTTAACTTAACAATCAAATAGGAGTAACTTAAAACGAGTTTTTTTTTCATAAAATTCATATAAAATATTTGCCACAAATAAAAAATTCAAAATATTTTCTTACAAAACCTACGGCTTAAAGTAAGTTGCTTAGTAGCTAAAAATTTCTATTTACAAAATGTGTGTCATATATTTAAAAAACAAAAAAAAAAAAATATTCAATAGTTAAAAGTGAATTATTAAAATAATTTTTTTGACATTTTCACAAATCCTTTTTGTAATTTTCGAAAATGTTTTTTTCAAAAACTCTTTTGTTCAAAAACTTTTTTTCAGAATTTGATACATACATATGACTGTGTGGTAATGCGTTTTTTGCAAATTATTTTAATGACTTAAATAATAATACAATATTTACAAAAATTAAGTAAGGTGTGTAGTGGCAGCGACAAGCGTTGGCGCAAAAATTAAGTAGAAAGCAAAATTAGTCACGGAAAATCGGGTTTGAAGCTTTTGAAAGCGCCTCAACATGTGCGAAAGCTTCACAAAACTCAAAAAACGCATTGAAGTATGTAGTTGAATGTGAAAGCTCGGAAAAAATTTAAAAGCACACAGTTAAGGGTGAAAGCTTTCGAAAGCTTTGAAAAATAAAAAGTTGCACATTAGCTTTTAGCAAGTTCTGAAGCGCGTTTTATGTTTAACTTACTTTTTCATCACTTAATTTTTGCGACATCGCAAATTAATATTTTTCGTCCACACTTCATCCAGGTTTCCTATAGAGCTGCCTACATATGAATATGACAATAAAGATTTCATTTGTCTGCAGCAATTAAAAAACAAAATATATCAAAAAAAACAAAATAAAAATAAAAAATTAAAAAATTCATATATTACCGTTACATATTTACATGTTTTTTTTCTTACTCATAATGCTCATTAGTTATACTAGTTGTCTTAAGTTTGTAATTAACGTATTCACATCAAGTACCGTTAAGTACTAGTTTTACATACACGTCTTACACGTGTGAGTGTGTGTATTTCTACTATGATTTCTGCGTCCCAATTTTTATGATTTTTTTCTTACATCTTTAATTATACAATTAACATATTGTTTTTTTACTCAGTAGAAACTTAAATTTAATGATATTTCTCGCTTTGCTCGTTTTCTCACCAACATTGCTTAGTAAGTTGCTTGTAAATTTGGTTGATTGGCAGAGTTGCCATTTATAATTTTCTAATAACCGTTATGGAATTTTCGTTAATTTGTGTGAAAATTTTAATTTCACAATTTGACAGTTTTTACACATTTTTCTTCTGTGTAATTTTTATTACTTTTGTCTCAGTTTCGGTTCTTACAGTTATGATTTGAGTGAGTGAGTTCACATTTTAAATTTATTATTTTACACATACATATACATATATAAATCGCTTTAATCGTCTTTACAACGCCATCAGTCTTTAACTTAGGGATTAAATTGTGTACTTGCTTAAAATTAGTTATTTTTTTTATTTAGTGAAATTGGAAAATGCGAGAGGATTTTGTTTTGAAAATTTTTCTTTTTTTTAATTTTAAATAAAAATGTAAAGTTACATAAGCAGCAATGTTTTTTAGCAAATATTTTAAATATTTATTTTTTTAATATAATCAGAAAAAAAAATTAAGTATAAAAAAAAATTAAATAAAAAATCAAACCATAATATCCATAAAAATTTTTTTTTTTAAATCTAACGTTAGAAATTTTTTTTTAAAAAATAAATTACTTGCCATAATGAGAAATAAAAAAAAAATAAAAATATGTCAAAAATTAAAAAAAAATTTTCTAAAATTAAAAAAAAATCTAAAAAAAATAAATATTTAGAGAACTTTAATTTTACTAATTGCTGAGGTTGAAAATCAAAAAAAATTTATTTTTTAAATTAACAAAAATAAAACAACATGTCAAAAATTAAAAAAAACTGCCAAAAATTAAAATAAATGTCCAAAATATTTAAACATTACAAAAATTAAAAAAATCATTATTCAAAATTAAAAAAAATCAAAAAAAAAATTATTATTTACAGAACTTTAATTTTACTTATTGCTTAAGTTGTAATTAGAACTATGAAAATTTTTGAAAAATGTCCAAAAATTTTAATAATTAAAAAACACAATTCAATAATTTTTTAATTGACAAAAATTAAAAAATAAACTGTCAAATATTAAAAATAAATGTCAATAATTAAAAAAATGTCTAAAATTTAAAAAAAAATTGAAAAATTATAAAAAATTTAAAACATTAAAAAAAAGTCTACAATTAAAAAATTGCCAAATTTAAAATATATATTCAACATTTCTAAATTCCAAAAAAAGTCAATATTACAAAACAAAAAAAACTCTCTAAAATTAATAAAATACATAAAAAATTCAAATATTTCACAAATTTCAAAATTAAAAAATATAAATAAATAATTTACACAACTTAAATTTCACTAATTACTAAGTTTGTAAATTAGTGCTTGAAATTATTTAATATTATATTATTTGTGACACTTATGTATTTGTTCTGTTGCGATTGTAGTCGTGGTCAATGATGGCAAAGCAAAAAAAAAATTTTTGAAAACTTTAAAAAAATTATGGTTTGTAGTGCCAAAAACCTTGCTAATTTATCGAAACAGTTATGTCAAGAAGTAAAAAAATAATTATTAACGTACAAAACTTACTCGAAATTTCAAACGATTTTTGTTTTTTTTTTTCAAATAACAGCGATTTCGGCTATTTTAATCTGGCAACACTTAAAAAATAATATTTCATTTTTTTTGAAATTTCAAAATTGAAAAATTAGATTTTTGAACTTTTCAATAAACAGCAATTGCTGCTATTTTAATCTGGCAACACTTTAAAAAGATAATGGTTTAGCTTTTCACATTTAATTATTCAGATTTTTTTTCAAATTTACAAATTTCCAAATTTAAAAATGATTTTTGAATTTTTTAATTAACAGAAATTTCGGTTATTTCAATCTGGCAACACTGTTAAAATCTTTTCAGGTTTTCACATTTAATTTTTTAAAATTTTTTTTCAAATTCCAATATATTGTATAAAATATTTAAAAATTTTGAAAACATTTTCAGCTCAGCTTTTGGCACTTTCAAATTATTTTCACGGCAATATTACCTTAAAAGTCAACAATATTTCCTCATTCTATGTTTATATACAAAAAATTAGTATTTCTGTTTAGTTTTTTTTTCAAGATCGTACACTTTTTAACATGAAGGCACATTTTACATTTTTGTTCTTTTTTTTAAGTGTAAATATAAAGAGCATAGTAACAAGATTTATTTACTAGAATTTACAATTTTTTTGTTCTACAAATAAAGACAGCTTTTAAAGGAGTCAGTATTAAAAAAAAATTTTTTGTAATATTTGAGATTCTTCGTTTTTTTGTTTTTTTCGATAGATAAAATTTACAAGCATTTTTTCAATGCTGGGGAACACTTTATCGCTTTAACACTGCTTCGAAGTAATAACTTCTCATTGCTTTTAGTAATAAAAAAAAACTTTCGTTAATTTTTTGTAAAATACAGCGGAGAAATTGTCTTCGTTAAGTACTACACTGTTTTCGTTATTTTTTTGACAGAGTTTTTTACCTATTTTAGGTGACGACGTCAAGGTCAACGACAATTAGGAGAGTTGCTCTGGAGTGAGACGATAAATGTTACTTTGTAGCAGACAGCCCGGTTGCGAAATGCGTTTACATACTTTTTTGTTGCACTGTTAGTTTTTGAGCAAAGACGCAAACCAATATTTTGCAAGTGGACTACGTTTCAGAACTGCTAAGTTTTTTAGAGCCAGCACGCGCTTTCCTGAGCTTTTATGAGTTTAAAAAGCTTTCATGAGCTTTCAAGAACTTCCACAAGTTTTGAAAAGCTTTCATGCATTTCAAAGAACTTTCACTAGTTGCCAGCAGCTTTCACGAGCTTTTCTAACTTTACGATTTAAACAAAAAATTATTACAGCCGCTTCTTTTCATGCCAGCTAAACACTGTAGTTATGCCTGCCTTCAGCCACTTTAAAATTCCGCTCAGAATTATCAGAAAAATTCATTGCTGCCCGCCGCACCCTCTCGCCAACGCTCACGCTCATAGTAATCTGCCGCATTGCCTGCGCCGCTACCGCTACTGCTCTCCCCCATTCTGCCGCCCAACCAGCTATTGCTGCCGCCCGCCCACCAACTGCCCAGAAATCACCGCTCACTCGCATGTGTGGTCGAACCAATGCCGCCACCATTGCTGATGGGCCGCTTGAAGAAGCCCAGCGTGTCGAGCGTGCGGAAGGTGCGTCGTATTAACTCGTCTTTGTACTTCCAGATCGTTTTGTCTTCGACCGAATTCTCGCGATACTCCTCACAGCTCTTTTTTAGCGTATTCACGCAGTCGGCGCGATAATGTTGCAGTTGTGCGTCGGTGGTGTTCACCGGGTAGGACTTACAGACGCCACCGAGGCAGGCGAGCGGAAAGTGATTGTGTAGCGTGAGCACGCGCTCTGGATCGTGGAAACACTTCACGTACTGATTGGGTTTGGTGTAGTTCTTGGCGCGGTGCACGTGTTGCAACATGTGCATGTACTTGGGTATGTCCTTGTGCCAGCCATGCTCGTGCTGTTGATCGTCGAGGAAGTATACATTGCGGAAATTGTAACTGTTGTAGCCTTCGGGTTTGATCTTCAGCGATTCGGGCACCACCTTCTCCATTAGCTCTGACCAGAGCACGAAGTTGCCCTTCGGCATGATCACCTCGTCGATATCGAGCAGCGCAATGTATTTGTATAAGTAGAGATTCTTGTAGAGACAATCATTGTAGGGTATGACCTCGTTCTGACGCTTGTGATTCGTCTTTTTCGTGAGGTAGAGATGCTGGAAGCCGGGCACATTCGGTTGTCCGCCCGGTAGCGTCAGCGGTATGACCTGCACTTTGCCTTCCTGTTCGTAGTGGCTGAGCACTTTTGTGATATTCGGATGCACTTGCAGATTGTAGAAGTAGATCTTATCGGCGCCCAAAATATTCAACATCTCGATCCACTCAATCAAACGCACAGAGAGATCATCGTAGAGAAAGTCCAAACCCTTAACACAAACGGCGAAACCTTTCTTCTGATCATCTGGCGGCCGATTGTAGATGACGCGCAAGTTATTTGTTGCCGTATCGCATTCCTTCTCCACCATCGATACCGAGCTGGGCACAACGCCGTGGAACGGTTTCGGTATTTGACATGCTATCAGATAAGGCTGATAGATGCCCTGCTTGTAGTTGCCCCACTTATTGTACCAGATATATTTGTATTCGAATGTCTTAACAATGAAGGGCTCCTTCTGGCCATCGAACCAGAACTGGCAATATGTCTTCACCGTCGGCTGTATGCGATCGATCATGCCGAGTATACGTACCGTCGGTCCAATACGTGAGGTCTTACGTATATCATAGTATGCGCCGAACAGCTGAAAGGTGCCGTTGGTTGTGCGCATTGTCTGCCAGTAGATATTATTGAATTCCAACTCAAAGATGGATGGATACTTGGCGCAAGTGTTGGACTTTTGCTGGCGGAAGTTCTTGTTCTTGCTCCAATAGGCGATGGGGAGCGAAGGGATGCGCGACTCAACATCGCGCACCAGCTGATCATCGTCCATGGCTAGTAGCGTGGCGTTAAAGAAAAAAAAGAAGGTAAACGAATTAGTAAGAAATAAATATTTGGGGGAAAATGAGGTCTACTACTAAATTATAGAAACACTTGGCAGGCGCATAAATAAAATAAATGAGCACAGAGAATTCGAGTAAGTGCTGAATGTTTTGCTAGGAGCTCAAGTGCTAGATGGTGGTCTGAATTTGGAACTCATTTCATTTTACTTCTCTTTGAGGCTTCTTACTAATGTATAAATCTACATTACACGCAAAATTTAGCTAAGATCTGTTGGTCCTCTTAAAGGGTTTTTAATAATTTATACATTTAGCTAAGATCTGTTGGTCTGCTCAAATTTAGGACACGTTCGGACGCAGCGTTATACCGAAGTGATAAAAGTTAAAAAGGTTGGACGGTCTTAAAAAATATAGTAAGCGTTTAATATATTCGTCTCCAGAAAGCTTAGGTAAGGTTGGACGGTCATCTGAAATAAATTGCACCAACTAGATATGTCTTCGGAGTCGTTATTTGGACGGTCATTACAGAGAACTAAATCGCTTCTACTCTACTCGGCTACTCGGAAGAGGGAATATAGTAGTTTTTGATTTTGTTATGCTTCGTAATCTAGCTTGTCCTTGCTTAGTGTGCGACTGCTGGTAAAGATAGGTGTCATACCTTGGTTCTTAACAATATTTGTATACTGTTTATCTTAGTATGCATAGAGGGCCTTCTCCAAATGAGGTGTACTCAATCATATGGATCACTTTAAAACTCTTTAGCGCTGACTCACCTGTTCGATTGTCCACTAAGATCTCCGATGGATCAAAACGATCCGTTGTGGTCGACGTAGTCTCCGCATAACGCAATATATCTTTCTGCAGCAAAATGCGGCCGCTCAATGGCACGGCGCTGTACTCTTGCGAGACTATATTGGTGCCGTGCATTTTGAAGAGACCGATTATGACGAAGGACCACACGCAAAGCGAGAGTAAAACTTTCAAGATTATCTTGGAACTGGCCATTTTGCTGTGTTGTTTGTTGCTTAAAAGTAGTGATTGTTGTTGGAGAAGTTAAGTCTAAATTATTGTTGTTGTTGTGTTTGTGCTTGCTTTCGCAGTAAGCACGTGTTTTCACTAGTCACAGCGTATTATTGTTGCTGTTATTGTTGCGGCGTGTCGTGGTTCCTCTTTGATGAATGTCGGAGACTCGCTGCGGCACACGAAAATTCCATTAAAACTTTGAACAACTGAAACGAGACAACAGAGTTGTTGGTGTGTAAGTAAAATATCAAATTTATATCATTATGCGGGTGAAAGGGGGAGGGGGGAAGAGAGGGAGGGTGTGTCTAGTGAAATGCAGAATGGCTATAATCGCGTTAGTTCGGCCGTCTAGCCATTGCATTGACGAGACACAGCGCATAAAACATTTAAAATAATTGCCACATTTAATATTGTGTGCGGCTTTGACTTTGTTGTAATTGCTGTTGTTGTTGCTGACAAATATTCATGTTTTTATAACTCAAAATAACAATGTTTGCCAACAAATTCGCATTGAATACGAAAATGTGCGCAGAGTTTGGCAATGAAGCAAAAAGCTACCAAAGCCCACAACAAAGCGCCATAGACAAAGCTTAGCGAATGCGACAACAAAACGCACTTGCAATTCTCCGAAGTGGCATACAAACGTTTAAACAAAATAAAACACTAACGGCGCTTGAATGGATGCGAAAGTGGTCACTGCGCGCTTTCTTGCGGCCTGTCTTCCACGTGCAATCGTTAGTTGTTAGTCAAAGTGTAACATTCGACATTGTTGTTGCGTTTTGTTGTAATTGCCGCATCAATAAATAATGCAAGTCATTATGACAATGCATAAAATACGCATTTCACAAAGGCGAACGTTGTACGCCAGAGAGCTTTCGTAAGCTTGCGCCTAACATTGGTAGGCATGTCGGTGACTTTATTTGCAATTTTCGCAAATTATTGCCACTAATGAAATGTTAGTCATTTCCGTTATGTCTACTTCGCTGTTCTTGTTGTTGCTGTCACAACATTGTATTGTGTCCGGCGAGCGCCCGTAGCGTAGACACGTGAATGTCTCGTGTAGTGCTTACTTATTATTGCTACAATGCTAGAATTTTACTTTTATTGTTGTTGCTTGTTCACTTGCTCAATTATTTGTCGCTGCTTTGGCTGTTAACTTGTAAACGACACAAAGTTTTGCTTTTTTATTAGCCTTTTGTCTGGCCGCGTCATTTCAGTCTGATCCTTTGTTGGCTCAATGAGTTGGCTGAGTGGCGTAGTGGCTGAATGGCCGGCTGTTTGGTTAGTTAGCGCGCACTGTTGATTTGTCTTGTGGCACGTTCTAAGGCACAGTGGTGCCTTTGCGGATTTTTTGACATTTGACGTTAAAACTTAAAAGCGGCTTGAGAGCTTTTACTGATTAATTTTAATGATGAAAGCACTAATTTTAGATGACGTTGACGCCACGTAGATAAAGCTGGCATATTTTGTGTGTGCCAAACTTTCATTCAATATTTCATTCGTATGAAGTATAGCTTGAAATTCTCAAACGGTTAATAAAATCGAGTTTTTCTCGTTATGTTTCAACTTTTGACTAAGCTTTTATGCGATATCTCAAAAACAACACGTTGTACTCAGTGAATTTCCTTCAATACTTGCTTTTACTTTCGGTTGCAAGATAAAGGAGGTTCTCGCAAATAGTTTTCCATATAGATTTTCGATAACTCAGGCCTGATCTTATACCAAGTTATAATTGTTTTTGGAAATGTACAAAATAATTTTTGACTAAAAAGTTCTAATCAGTCGCTTAGTCCACCTATAAGTCCGTTTTGGTTATGTGGTGACTTAGACGTGTGGAAAATGCCGTGGAAGCGGACCTTCCTTTGTCGAAAAGAAAAATTTTCCAGGCACAATATAGGATAAGCCTTGTTCTCAATATAACAACTTCACTAGCATACTACGCACACTGTAGACAGCTCCATTGAGTAGCCACAGTAGACGCCCACCACGCCAGTTGCTGAGACTTCCAATCTGTAACATTGTTTGTATGCGTTCCGACAATAAAGGAAAGACAATAGACAATGCCGCTGTCACTCCAAACGACTCGCAACGTCGCATGGGCTTAATACAGCCACAGTGATACCGGCAAGTGGAAGCAAAGCGCGCAGCAACAGTGTGCCCAACAAACAACGGTTGAACGGACGGACACGCTTTCCGCCTTGACTTCCTTCCATTACAAAGCCGAATACTTCCTGCCCGCAGAGCAGACAGGCATGACCAGCCGGCTGGCTGTCAACTTGCCGAATATACGTAATTTGTTCTAGCAGAAGGTAAGTGAGCGCCAGCAGACATATCAATATAAGAGCTTAGGAAGAAAGTGAGCTTTAAATAAAATGAAAATAAAGTATTACTAAAAACACCGCAGATATTTGAGGTAAAGGCAGGCTGAGGTATATGAAGGCAGGCAGACAGACTGATAGGCTGCGAGGCGACAGTATGCAGCGGCAGATAGCGCTAAACAGACGATAAGTGTCCCTCAAGTAATGCTGATGAAGATGACAATGATGATAATAGGTATGAGGATGCGGATGAACATGGTTTGGCGTAAAGTAAAGCTCGTGTGCCTTCCGCACGCTTGTGTGGGTGGCAAGTACATTTGCGGCAGGTGCGGTTGGCTGTGGGGCTGAGAGCACGCTCGCGTGTGTGTGTAGTGTGTTTTGTGGAGTGATAAAAATAACTGTGGCTACGCTGGCTAGGCTGGAGCGTCAGTTAGGTAAGGAGACGTCAAGCTGATGGAGCGATAGCAAGTTCTTGGCTGTGGCACTTGGCAAGCGCAGCGTCAGCAGAAAAAATTTACGCCTATACTAACGTTAAGGCACACACACTGCTTTAAGTGCCAGCCACAGCTATAAGGAAGTAGCCTTTTAGAACAGCGCACAATTTTAGCGCCACACACCGGAAAGGACACTCTCTGTATGCGCTCAGTGCGGTGCTTGAAGTAAGTTCTGGTCCTTGAAGCTGAATATGCTGAATGCCATGAATGCCATGCATGCATAAATGAGTGCGGGAATGAATATATGAATGGCGCACAGAAAGTAACGAAAGTGAGCAAGACAAAAACACAACAGCAGCAACAACAAGCACCATAAAAAAAGGACACACGGTGGAAAGACATGAATGTGCCTATATATTAAGCTTAGAATGAATGAATTTGTTAAGTATAATTGACGCTGACATTGTAGACAAGACACAGCGATGCTTCGCACGCCACAAGCACAGCGTTATGTATGAACGTCGTTACATATGTACATATGCAAGCTGTCTGTCTTTGGCTAGCGTACTGAGAAGATTTATTGAGACTTAAACGCTGCTCGCTTTCTATTTTTACGAGTCTATGTCTACGTAAGGGCGAAAAAAGGACGAAAGCGAAAGTGAAGCATCGTAAATCACTAGCTTGTTGTGTGCCATGATTTTTGCGACGCTGCAAGGTGATGAAAATCGACGCCGTATGGCTAGTAATCCACTAAGTGGCCATCAAATTTGAGCTGCTCAAAAAATTACGTAAGCACATATTTGTCACAACGAGTTTATTGGCATTGCTATAAATCTTGATGTCAGCGATTATTTTATGTGGTCCAATTGAAATGCGGAAAAGCAGTAAAAGTGCGATTACATAGGAATAATTTGGGAGACACAACGAGAAAATAAATGAATTATAGGAAAAGTGGATGGTCATAGCAGGAGAGAGGGTATAGGACGGTAGGACTTTCAAAGAGCAAATGTCATCGAATATGATCTGGTTATCATTGTTTTGAAAAGACTTTGAGCTGGTAACACATTTTCGGCTTACGGCGTTCAATGTTTTCTACGAAACCTGGATACCAAAACATGTCTTATACAGTGCGATTTGGATCATACACATCTACAGAAGACTTAGAACTCTTTTCTTGTCAAAGTTTATTCTTAGATCTGCCGTCTTAACTACTCTCTCTGAACGGTTTTGATGAATCCGAAGTATGATGAGCCTAGATAACTTTGCAGTAGGTGTAGTTTTTGGGTAGAGATGTAGTGGTAATACATAGTATAAAGAGAAGGCAGACTCTGGCTGTTTCAAAGTGAGCTTTCAAGAGAACAAATCAGTCTAATCTAACTGAAACTTGAGAATTTCTGTGATAAGCAAGGCCATTTGTTGCAAATAAGAGAGGAGTTTGGATCTATACTGACAGCGACTTTGAATACAAAGGGAATATGAAAATGGTGAGGCAGGTAATACGATGTTGATGATTTTATGGGTAAATTGCAAAATATCTTTTCCGCGTATGGTCGGCGATAAATATCGTCGATTTAAGAAAATTAAAGGTAATTTAACAAGGCAGCTGCTGTAAATTACAACAACAAATTATTTTCAAAAACGATTCGAAACGGTGCGATTTAATCAACGAGCAAAGAGTCCAAAGCGCGAGCGCAATTTTACGAGTTGCTTTTACCTGCTGCAAAACAAAATACCCCAAATCCATTAACGTAATTTATTTCGTTTGGAAACCTTGCAACTGCAACCCTTCACGGCATTTTTGCAGCTTCCTTATTCACCACGTTGCATTGCGGTAAAGAAAGAAGAGAAAGATAAACGTTGCAAAAAGTGGAGAGAAATATCAATAAAGCATACAAAGTCAGTCTAACCGAAGCCAGAAGCGAAAAAAAGGTGACAAATGTCTTGTAGCTTGCACCTTGGAAAACCTACAAATGTCAGAGACAAGTGGCAGCGGACACTCGACAGGAAAGCTGTAGTGTTGCGCCAACAAGCAGGCACACAGCAAAGCAGCGGGAAATGTGTGCGAAACAGTTACGCACCAGCTGCAAGGGGAGACTGAGCCGTTCTATGTAGATATATATTTTTTATGTGGCAGTCAGTCAGTGACATTTGCGTAAATGTCAAGGGACAAAACTCATAAAGTGTGTGAACAAGTGGGAACAAGCAAAAAGAAGATAAAAAAAAGAACTTCAGAACGACACAACGACTGTTGATTGTCAACGGCGCATATGACTCATTCGAGGCCGAAGCGACGAGCAATACACGAGCACAAACGGACTCTTGTAATTCACGGAGTCAGTCATTAAAACTCACTCGCACTTGATTTTCCCTGCTTCACCCTTCTTGTTTGTATGTGCCCGCTCTGCATACTGCTCTGTTGTCCAGGTAAACAACTTGAGTACTGCTGAGAAGATAGTTGATATGCGGTATGAAGCGTTTTAATTTAAATTTTAATAAATTTAATTTTCATTTAGATTTGCAGAAGGTTGGAAAATGCATGAAAAATTTTTGTTTGAAATAAAAATTATACTGGACCGCAGAAGTAAAAAGAACAGACAACATTTTTTAAACAAATATTATGCTTGTGAAAATGTTGCTTAACAAATTAGGGCCACACAGCGAAGTGTAATTCAACAGAAAAAAAATTACCATCTTTCCAAACTTGTACCGAAACATGTTGCAAGGAATTGTATACATTACAGGTAACATGTTGCTTGATGCTTAGAGAGTAAAAACAGCTTTATAACTATAATTACAAATCAAATTAAAAAAAAGTTTTCGCAACTAAAATGTTGCCAATAAATGTTGCGGCTGCATTGATAAAAAAAAATAAAAATCACATAAGAGCTGAACTACTTAAAATATGAATAATGCAACTTGATTCCGACATTTTCTAATAAAATGTGTCTAAACAATGATGCGCAACATATTGCTGTTGTATTAAAAAGCTGAATCGCTGAATTACTTCTATTATGAACAATTTGTAACAAAATTAATAAAATTTTCATTCGAATGTATCTAAACATTGTTGCGCAACATATTGTAGCAGCATTGAAAAAACTTCAAACTAAATAAAATTGCTGAATTTATTCAATTATAATGAACTCGTAATGCAATTCAAAATTGTCTAAACAAATGTGTCTAAACAATGTGACGCATCATCTTGCAGCAGCATTAAAAAGTCTTAAGCTAGCTAAAAGCGTTGATTTCAAATGTTATATAAAGAATTTGTAACAAAAATACGAATATTTCCACTCAAATGTGTCTAAACAATGTGACGCAACATGTTGCAGCAGCATTGAAAAGGCCTTAAGCTAACTAAAATCGCCTAAATGATTAAATTATAAAGAATTTGAAAAAAGAAATACAAATATTTTCAATCAAATGTGTCTAAACAATGTTGCACAACATGTTGCAGTAGGTAAGAACTTTGAGTTAACTAGAATCGCTGAATTTATTCAACTATCAAGAATTTTTAACGAAACTATGAATATTTCCTATCAAATGTGTCTAAACAATGTTGCGCAACATTGTTGAAAATAAAATAACCAAGCATCTTTATCACGTTTCCTGCTAGGCATAGGCGGATTTCCCACTAAAAAAGTAAATTTCAGTATTTTATAATTATTCTCAACCCTGCTGTCGGAAAACTGTCTGCCTGCTTGGCAGCTTGACTGTTGCTGACTTCAGCATGCATTTTTTGTCGGAGTCGAGCGCTGCTGTTGACTGTCTGTAAAAATTGTTATCATTTTAATGAAGTTGCTGACACATACTAGAGAGGCTGCCATGCCGCGCGCTCAAGAGAGTGAGCCAGTCGGTGGCGCTGGCACTTAAGTATTTTGTCATATGCTTGCACACATCTGCAAATTCCGTGTGTGTGTGTGTGTGTCGTTTAATGCGCCACTGATGGTATTTAAATGATGCGCATAAATTAACAAACACTGCAATGCTTTTGCAAGAAGCGCATAAAAAATGCACGAAAGCAAGCGAAAAGTAGAAACAAAGCGCGCGCAGCATGTTGCTGCCGCATGTCGCTGCATTTAATAACAGGTTTGTCTTCAATGCAGCGCGACTGCTTTGTTGACTCGATATGTTTGCATTTCTTATTCATTTGTTAATGAAGTGGCAAGCTACAGCTAGCATAACAACAACAGCAACAACAAGTTGTTATGGAAATACAGCAAAGCAGTCCACAGGGAGCCAAACAGAGAATGTGCTTGCAATATTACAAATGGCAATTTCGCTCGATTTTTTTTTGCATCTTTCACTGATTTGAATTCGAAATGTTTTGCATTTGATTTTCGTATACTTTTGTGATGAGTTAAGGGATTTGCGGTCATAGATACTTTTGCGCATCACTGCTAATGATTTCTAGTTTTTCTTTTTAATTTTGCTTACGATATAGTGTTTGTTTGAAAATAATTGCAAATTCTAAAAAAAAGGAGTAATTAAAAAAAATAAATAAATAATAAAAAAAATATATAATAAAAAAAAAAATTAAATTATATACAACAAAAAAAATTAAAAAAGAGAGATATATTCAACTTTATACTGGAAAACAGAATAACTTCTCTTTAAGCCAAATTGACTTAAGCTTTTTATAATATCACCACAGATCTGTATATTCCCTTTGAATACACCACATATGCCTTGAACAGAGAATATTAAATTTGACACGTTGTTCGTAACACTCAGAAAGAAACGTCGAAAACACTATAAAGTAAATACAATGTATATAAGTGATTGACAAGACAAGTTGAGTCAATTTAGCTAGGTCCAACTATCTGTATATACGCGAACTAGTCTCACAGTTTTTGAGATATTCATCTGAAATTTTGCACACGTCCTTTTATCTCCAAGAAGCTGCTTGTATGTCGAAGTTGTTAATATCGGACCACTATAGCATATAGCTGCCATACAAAGTGAACGATCGGAATCAAGTGCTTGTATGGAAAACTTTTTTATTTGACAAGATATCTGCATGAAATTTGGCACGGATTGTTGTCAAAAAATAGGGCACAATCTTCGAACAAATTGTTCAAATCGGTTGACCATAGCATATAGCTGCCATACAAACTGAAAGTTCTTGTATAGAAAACTTTTTTATTTGCGAATATTATTGTATTGTAGTTGCCTTGCAAACAAAGTCAAAGTTTTTGCAAGTTTTTCATTAACAATATTTCTACATGGTGTTCACACACACAAACGTATATGTCATACACACTAAAGCCATATATGTTTAAATTCTCTCTACAGCCTTGCACTAAAAATTATTTGCTTAAATTTTTAATTCTGCATATTTGACTAAAGTGCGGTTAAGTTATGAACTTAACATGCAAATATGCAACACTCACACACACACACATACACATTCACTTAAAAATGCCATGAATGCAATATGAAGCCACAAAAATACCAATTACCAACGTAAAAAATGTCAAAAGCAATGCAGTGCAATATATATGGAGCCACACATACATATACATATATAGCGCATATACACACATACCAGTGTGCATTTGAAATCGAACCAAGGCAATAGCGCAACAACTAAATTATATTACAACGAGATGCGCTCAATATGGCCAGCATTTTTGTGCTAAAAACTCTTTAACAAACATATTTACATGCATTCATATATACATATGTATATATAATACATGTTTATGTATATGACTGCATATCAACTTTGAATATTATTGCTTTAAAACACCGCAGCTAATGTCGATGAAATGCAAACGACAATGCCTGAAGTTACAAATTTCATTAATTTCGCATTTGCATTTTCAAATATTTTATTAATATTTACATATTTCATGCACTAATAAATAAATAATAAACACGGTCTAACACTGTTGCGCTGTGGTAAGGCACTGTTGCACGCCGAAATGCGATAGGCGGTGTGAAATGACTTTTTGCGGTGTTTGGCGGTCAAGAGAGTTGCCATGTGGAAATCTAGGCAAAATACTATATTTAGTTTTAAATATATTGTGGCAAATATTTGAAGCAAAAGCTTCGTTGCTATAAACATTTTAGTAACAGTGTACAGATTAGTTATAAAGTTTGCGATTTATTCACAGTCTGGCTACCCTAAGCTTTTTTATGTAAATATCTAAAGCACGTAATCGCGCAACAGGCCGTCAGCAGCCCGCTTAGTTTACCAAAAAATGTAATTAAATGCGGATAATTGAGCCAATATTGTGGTTTTATTTATAAGCTACAAAAACAATAAAAACATAAATCTTTATTAAAAATATGTATTATTATTAAATTATTAATCACACTTTGTTTGGCGAATTGATATGTGCTATTTTGGCACAAATATTTGTGGTCACTTGCCAAAGGAGAAGTGATAAGGAATTAAAAACTAAATATAAACTTCAATTCTTTAGCAATAATTTAATAATACTGTTTTTTTTTTTTAATTTTTGTGGTAAAGAAATCAAGTTGTGTTATGTATTAAAATTTTAAAATTCGGACTATGAAAAGAAATGGAAGTAAATTTTGGGAAATATTTTTGATAAAACCTGAAAAAAGTTCTAAAAATTATTATATAATTTCAGAAAAAAAAGTTTTAAAAAAAATTATCAAAAAAATTCATAAAAAATGCTTCAAAATATATCTATTTATTTTTAGAAAAAATAAAGTAAATTAAAAATATTACACGAATATATGTATAAATAATACATAATACATACATATTTTCGTATAATTTGTTAAAAAGAAAAAATAAAGATTATTAATAATAAATTATTTTAAAAAGACATTTATGTAATCAAAAAAAATTTGTGTAATATTTTTTATTTTATATTTACTTTATTTTTTCTAAATATTTATACAAGTATATATGTTTTCAAGCATTTTTTAAGAAAATTTCTTGAAAAAAAAAAATAAAAAACAATTGTTTTGAAAACCGTATTTATGAAAACATTTTTCTTTAAATATAAATAAAAAAAAAAATCAAAAGTATAGTTACTCTGAAAATTTATTAATTAATTTTAATCAATAAAAAAAGTTTTTGCAAAATTTATTTTTTCTCTAAAAACTATAACCGAAAAGATATTGATATTTAAAAGTAAAGATTTTGTTCTCTCGGTAAAATAAGTATAGTTTTGATTTGTAAAAAAAATTTTCTTTAAATATAATATACAAAAAGGTTTATATATTCTTCTCGCTATCTATATTTATAATAGTTATTAAACATTTTTATTTTTTTTATAGGTATTATTTTACTACTTTTGGCGAAATTATTATTATCTTAAAATTTTTATTTTCTGCAAACTATACAATTTATAAAAAAGTGTCAAAAAAAATTTCATAATTACTAAATAAAAAAACTTTTTGCAAAATTGATTTTTTGTATCAAAATTATATCCAAACAAGTAAGGAAGGGCTAAGTTCGGATGTAACCGAACATTTTATACTCTCGCAAGGTCAAATGGTATACTCGTTTGAGATTTCTTTGTGGATTGACTGATATTTTCGGTAGAAGGTCAACTATAGGCACTGGGGTCCACATATTTAGTACTTAGGGGTTTGAACAGTTTTGGTTCGATTTAGACAATTTTTGGTCGCAAGGTGGCATACTTTAATTGCATTATTCACGCAAAGTTTTACCCCGATATAATCATTTTTACCTGATTTGCATAGTGGAATGTGAAAGAATCAGATGGAATTGAAAATGGTGTTACATGGGAAGTAAGCGTGGTTGTAGTCCGATTTCGCCCATTTTCGCACTATGACATAGAAACATGAAAAGAACGTTATGCACCGAATTTGGTTGAAATCGGTTGAGCAGATCTCAAGATATGGGTTTTCAC